AGCTGGTCTGTAACCGCACCTTCGACAAGTTCTCCTGCTGGCCCGACACGATGCCCAACAGCACGGCCAGCGTGCCCTGCCCCTGGTTCCTGCCCTGGTACCAGAAAGGTAACGCGGGGAGGGGCGTGTGCACGTGCACCTGGGTGGTGTGTGCAGCTGTGCAGTGTGCTCCCACGCGTGTGCAGCTGTGCTGGGACACCTGTGTGCTGTGTGCATGTGCTGCTGCAGGCAGTCACACCGGGGCCGGTGCACGCTGCCCACGGGCGCTGGCACTCCTCACCATCCCTCCCCTCGCAGTGAAGCACAGACACGTCTTCAAGACCTGTGGGCCGGACGGACGGTGGGTGACAGGCCCGCGGGGACAGTCCCTGCGCGATGCCACACAGTGTGAGCAGGATGACGAGGACCTGAAGGCGCAGGTGGGCAGACCTGGGCAGCAGGGGTGTGGGGGTCCCTGCCTGCCCCCCTGCCTGCCCCCCTGCCTGCCCCTGCCCTCATTCGCTCCCTCCTCTTCCAGGAAAAGTTTGCCAGGACCTATGGCAGCTTCAAGGTGATGTACACTGTGGGCTACTCTGTGTCCCTGTGTGCGCTGCTGCTCGCCCTGGCCCTGCTGCTGGGCTTCAGGTGGGACTTTGGGCATGGCTGTCCCCAGGCTGGGCAGGGGGACGCCGGGGCCCACGCACGGGCATTGACAATGGCCCCCAAATCCGCAGCAAGCTGCACTGCATGAGGAACTACATCCACATGAACCTGTTCGCCTCCTTCATCCTGAAGGGCGTCTCCGTGCTGGTCATCGACGCCCTGCTCAAAACCCACTACAGCGACAAGATCGACGGCTACAACGTGCAAGTGTGGCTGAGCGACGAGGTCAGCGCAGGGACAGGGATGGGGACAGGGACAGGCACAGGGACAGGCAGTGCTGTGGGGCTGGGGGCTCTGGTGGGGCTGGGGGCACGGGCACACACACAGGCAGTGCTGCAGCCCTGACCCCTGCCCACAGGCAGCTGCAGGCTGCAGGGCAGCCACAGTCTTCATGCAGTACGGCATCGTGGCCAACTACTGCTGGCTGCTGGTGGAAGGCATCTACCTGCACAACCTGCTGGTGGTGGCCGTCTTCTCCGAGAGGAGCTACTTCACCCTCTACCTGTGCATCGGCTGGGGTGAGTGTGGGCGGGTGGGCCCCTGACCCTGTGCCCTGCTGGGCCTCACCCGTGCTCTGCTCACCTCCCCTCAGGGGCACCCATGCTGTTCCTCGTTCCCTGGGTCATTGTGAAGTTCCTCTACGAAAATATCCAGTGAGTACCAGCTCCAGCTGCTGGCTGGCGGGGGGCACAGGGCACAGGGAGGTGCGTGGGGGACTCTAGGGATGTTGTGCTGGTTCTGGAGTCACTCCACACCATTGCCCATGGCAAGGAGCAGGGTTCTGGGCCTTAGTGCTTGCTTGACTCAGGCTGCCAATCCATGCCAGTCTCCAGCAGCTGCCTGGTCAAGGGGCTTCCTGGCAGTCCCCATCCCTCCATTCTGCAGGTGCTGGTCCACGAACAACAACATGGGCTTCTGGTGGATCCTTCGCTTCCCCGTGTTCCTGGCCATCCTGGTGAGCCCCCTGCAGCCCCTGCTCCACGTCTGTGTCACAGGGCCCAGCATGGCTGTGGAGGGGCTGCCCAGGGCAGGGGAGCAGAGGTGTCCTGTCTGCCCCTCCTCTGGCTCTGCCTGTGCCCCTGAGGGCTCACTCCATTCCTTTGCAGATCAACTTCTTCATCTTCATCCGCATCATTCAGATCCTCGTTTCCAAGCTCCGTGCGCACCAGATGCGCTACACTGACTACAAGTTCAGGTGGGTGCTGGATGTGGCTGTACACTGTGGGTTACACTGTGGGGTTACACTGTGGGGTTACACTGTGGGTTACACGGTGGGGTACACTGTGGGGTACACTGTGGGGTTACACAGTGGGGTACACTGTGGGGTACACTGTGGGGTTAGTTACACTGTGGGGTACACTGTGGGTTACACTGTGGGGTACACTGTGGGTTACACGGTGGGGTACACTGTGGGGTACACTGTGGGTTACACGGTGGGGTACACTGTGGGGTACACTGTGGGGTACACTGTGGGGTACACTGGGGGGTACACTGTGGTGTGGATCCCGTGTCCCCACGGCACACAGGGCTGCGTGCCCACCCGTGACCCTCGTCCCACAGGCTGGCCAGGTCCACGCTGACGCTGATCCCGCTGCTGGGCATCCACGAGGTGGTCTTTGCCTTCATCACGGACGAGCACGCCCAGGGCACGCTGCGCTACGTCAAGCTCTTCTTCGACCTCTTCCTGAGCTCCTTCCAGGTGAGCCCAGCCCTCCTTGGGGACACGCAGTCTCAGGAGGGACTGGACTGAGGTCTGGTTATGCTCTTCACGCCTCTCCTCCCCCTTCCCAGGGTTTGCTGGTGGCCATTCTCTACTGCTTCGTCAACAAGGAGGTGAGCAGGACAGCGGGGGCACGGGCAGGGGGGCACGGACAGGGGGCATGAGCAATGGAGGGCATGGGCAGCGGGGGCACGGGCAGGGGGCACAGGCAATAGGCGGCATGGGCAGCGAGGCACAGACAGCAGGGTCACAGACAGAGAGGGCACAGGCTCACACTGACAGCTGCTCCCGCAGGTGCAGGCAGAGCTGCTGAAGCGCTGGCAGCGCTGGAAGCTGGGGAAGGACCTGGCTGAGGAGTACAAGCACACCT